GAAGCACATTTATTATTATGAACATGCTCCACAAGCTGTAGTTGGTATTGTTCCCTAACAGGTAGATCCCTTAAATTTTTAAAAGAGTAATATTAGAGAGTTTTTTTTAAAGATGCATTTTAGCATGAATTGAGCAAAAAGTATGACATTCCTTCATTGGCTAAGTCACAATTCTTTATCATTGTCCCTTGGCTCTTGGGTGCTCTAGCACCTACACGGGCCCAGAGGGTCATAAAAGACACCAAATTTATAGGGAAGATCATATAAAAAGATAAGTCCAAAGGTTGTTTCTTAGCCTCCACCCCCATTCCACAATGATGACACCTGATGAATCCTAGAGATGAAAATGTATGCCTGGCTGGCCTTGTACACTTTAAATCATGGGCCAGGGACAACACTGTCTAATCCTTTAGGGGGTCTTTGAAATGGAAAGCTGGGGCCTCTGAGGGTCCATCTGCCCCACCCTGAAGTGTCCATACTTATATAGACCTATTTTATATATTAAAGATCTGTATGAGATTATGGTGCTATTCTTACCAAAAAAATAAATAAAATTCCTTTTACCACCTTCCTAAAGTCCTTAGAGTTTGAAAACCATTATTCTAGGTCACCATCTTAGGAAAATAAAAGTAGTCAGAGGGTTCATATCCCTCCCACATTTTCCTATTCAGAGTTTTTTTTCTCATTTATGAAAGAGGTGAAGAAACCAACACTAAGACATCTAACTATGGTTACTTTTGAGGCCTTCTGTTTAGGGCAAAGAAAATAGTACTGACTTACTGCACATGTCCAAGGCTTTTGCGTAACCTGAGCACTTTGAATCAATTTATCTCTGGCCTTTTGTTTTTCTTTGGGAAATTCTTCTACTCCTACCCTATCTTTAACTATTCATCTTGTATTGGCTATCCAAATATACCCAATAATGCTCTTTCTGAAAATATGCCAATTGCACTAATTACAGCTAAGCAGGAATATTAAATTGTGATGTCTGATTCCTAGAGAATGCAGTATTATTCCCCAAAGTATATCCTTGGTGCCTGTGCAGGTTCTATTTTAAAGATTCCAGTAAAGGTTGTTTCATATATTGGGAATGATTTTACTGGTCTTGCCAGTCCCCTAAAATTAATTCTTGTAGGAGGTTGTTTACTCAAATCTACAAGGAAATTTTACACCATATCTAGTCATGTTTTCTAGAAATTTTAACATTTGATTTGTCATTTACATGCTTTTGTAAAAGTCTGGGTTTTCTATGTGGGAAGCTCACATTGCCTGTAAAACCTGGTGGCCGGCTCAGCAAGCATACAACCCCAATCTGTTGTTTTTCTATTGGACTTCCTTTAGGATATTCATCCAAACTGATCTTCTGCAAGCAGCTGTAATAGGTTAGTTTGCATCTGCTTTGGTCCTTCTCTGCCATGTCTTGGGTATAATCTATGCCTTATAACTGGAGTTTAAGTTAGCTCTGAAAGGGTAGAAGCTATAGGAGTTTCAATCTCCATGGGAAGAGAGCATTTTTTAAACCGGTTATGCCTTCCCAATATTGGATTCCTCAGAACGGGAAAGAGTTCCCCATTCCTAGAGGGTTTGGCTAAACTTAATTCTAATCAAAATAAAGATGATATCCTATAAAGCCCAATTTCATCTGGCAAATCATACTTCGTGAAGTGTGAAGAACCTTTGTGTTTTCATGAATTATATTTTATTCCTATTTCAAAGTGAAGTTTCATTGATAGATTTTTTTTTTTTCCGCATGCAGGGAGGGACTTGTTGCTCCATTAGGCACGGAGCCCTTCCATCCCTCTCCAGGCATCTTCTGCCTACCAGGTTAAGTTGGGCAGCTGTCAAAAGAGGTCATGGCTCTTGAAAAGAAAGTAAACAAACCCAGGATGCATGGGTCTGAGCAGGATCCTAGCATGAGGGTGGGTGGGGCAGGCTTGTGGGGAATGAAAAGGGAACCACTTTATTGGGGGAAAGCTTCATCAAAACATGTGAAGAACTTTAAAAATGTAGATGCCTTTGAACCCAGTCAGAAAACTTCTGGAGATTTACACGGTGGTAATTATTAGGGATATGTACAAAGACTGGCTAGTAGGTATTCATCGGTGTTGTTTAATAATCAAAAAGGATGGGAAGCAATGTAAGTTCAAAGTTAGAAAAAGGATCTAAATAAATCCTGAAGTACCCATTATATACAAAACTGTAGAGGTATGGCCCTTGGTATGGAATTACGTGCATAAGAATGTCTAAGAGCTAGTTCATTTTGAAGAAACAAAATATATCACCCCGTATTATGTATGTATGTGTGCATACATACCCATTCTGTAACTTTAATAGTGGAAATCTTGAGTTTCTATTTTTGTTTTTCCTTTTTGAATCTTTGTTTACACGTTTGTTTTGTGTTTGGGTTGAGGGGACAAAATGATATTCTTTTTTAGAAAGAAAAAAATTATTTTATAGGGAAACACTCAATCCAGTTACCACCTCCTTATGCCACCCTCTCAAGCCACCAAGGGGAAGCCCAGGCACCCTGCTGGTAACAGCCACAGCCAGACACTCAAGCTCCTACTTATCTCCTCAGGGAAGGAGAGTCCCCCAGTAAGTGACACTCCGGATGATGGTGACGAGCCCATGCCTGTCCCTGAAGACCTTTCCACTACCTCTGGAGGACAGCAGAATTCCAAGAGTGAAAGAGGAGTGGGTAAGTCGGGTTGTCCTGGTATCCTGCAGGCTGTCACCTGCTCTGTTTCTGTGAAACCTCCGTCTCTCTATGTCCTTCCAAGACAACGATTGAGAGATATGAGTCTTTTTCTTCACTGTTTTCCCTCAGCCATCATGTTAAGGAAAAGTGGTGCAGAGATTGGCAGGATGGGGTCCTTTGGTATGAAGGAGGATGAACCCTTCCAGGCCAGTATGGCCTTAAGACCCACATGTCAGCAAAATAGCAGAGGTGAGGGTCACCCTGCCATGGGATATGTCTCCATCACGCTCCTCTGTTCTTGATGCACTTTCAGGAATATTAAATTTTATTGGTTGTAGATAGTGAAAATTATATATTTTATGTGTTATAACCATAGGGCTGTTTTCTCTGGAGCTTTGGATTAGAAGGAGTCTCATCTGGCCATTTTATTTTATCCTTCTAATCTCTAGTTCTTATGTGGCATATTTAACTGGAAATAGGAAGTGACAGATGGGAATTTTTTTTTAATGTTAAAGGAAAAAATCTAGATTATCTAAGTTAGCAAACATTTACATACATTTTCCCTAAAGGGATGGGTATAGAACCTTCTGAAATCACTTTACTAGTTAACTTATACATGCTACTGTTCATGTTTCGAAAACTTTGTCCTCCTTTTCTCATTACAAGAAGACAGAGGCCCAGAGAAATTCAGTGAACTCACCAACGTCAAATGGTGGAGTCAGAATTAAACTCATTGTCTGACTCAAAGATTAGTTTTCACTCTACTATACCATGTTCTCATGAGCTAATGAGTCATTAGTTCCCTAGAATAGTAATTTTTCTTTTTTGAAAAAAAGATAAATCTGTGATATAAGAGCACCTACTTATACAAAATCATGTCATGAAGGTACAAAGATACAGAAGTCAGGGAGGCTGGATGGATATATCTTAGCTCCATAAGCCCTCACTGCATGTCTTTCTATAGGACATCCTGACACAACAACTGAGAAACTTCCTGTATGTTTTCATGGGTCCTAGAAACAAAGTTTACTTTGGGTATAATGACTGTCTTTTAATTTAGCTGTACCTTCTGGCTCAAGTAAATAAGGATAGTGGCTAAAATCATATGGTGTAGATGAACGCAGAGAATGAGTACATTTATAAATTCTTTTCTCCCTTTTAGTAAATGGCTACTCTTGTGTGGGAAGGTAGATGGGAAGAGAAATTTAACACCTGTCCATCATTCCTCTGTTCTTCGAAGACAGCCACATACATCATTTCAAAATTTCCCCGAGTTGAGACTCAGATGATCACACAGTTTTTTAATGGATGTTCTTATTTTTAAGATTACCTTTGATTTACTGTAAGTGATACTGGTGTTCCCATAGACTTTCAAAACACATTTATGTAAGTTGAAAGGTTAATTTAAATAAAAACATTAAGACACTGATGGTACATATACACAGTAAAAATTTGCATTAGTGACATATGAATAACTAATGTGGGGTTGCCCCAGGGTTTTCTCATTGGTTTAGTCCCTGAAGCACCCAGTGCAATGGGAGTAAGTGTTCTTCCCACTTACTCTGAGCATAAACCAAAATGCTCATCATGCCTGAGATGCTCATATAGCCAAACAAGGGGCTTAGGAACCAGGAACCAAAATTATCCATTGACCACGCAATATACTGTGAGCCCAGTCATCTGAGTTAGGAGCTGGCTCTGGGTCTTTATGGAGAAAGCCGTAGACTCAACCCTGAAATCTCTGTAGCTATTTCGGAGCCGCCACGATGCCCTCAGAGCCCTTGCAGTGTGGGCATCCTTTGGGGAACTGAAAGTCAGGCTGATTCCTGGAGAGTAGAGACAAGCATGCAATTCACTTGGGATAGATAAATAAATCATTATTATAAATACCTGCAAAATAGCCTGGTGATGTCTCCCTTGGGAACTTTGCACTGAGGGGAATTGCCTCTGGGTGAGGATCTCCCAGCCTCAGTTGGAACTGCTGGCTGGCTGCCAGGGTGGTGTTCCCTTCATGCAGAGTCCAGTGCTCAGCCTCAGATTTAACTAGTGCAAGCATTTGCCTGGAGTTGAGGTGGGCTTGTCACTTCCTGGGGGCTCGTCACTTCTTGGGGGCACATCTCAGTGCCCCCTTGTCATGTGTGACTTGATTTTTAGGCCAGTTTTCCTTTCAGGATGAAGTTTAGAAAACAGGAATTTCAGAGTTGTGAGATTGAAAGACCCTGGAAAACCTCTTTGCTGGGTTAGAGAGTAGCCGTTGACCTCCCTCTGTGGATAGGCAGGAAGAGCTGTTTGATGTGGGCCCGGGGATATCTGCAGCATAGAGGTCCTTGTGGGCTACTGGAGGCCAAGGAGTGATTCTTCAGAGCCAGGAAGCAAAGGCTGCAAAAGCCCAGAAGTTTCATGCCAAACACCAGACAGCAGAGGTGTGGGCACAGGAAGTAGGAGTGAGAGGACCCAGAAGACCCACCCATAGAAACAGACGTCAGGAGAAACCATGCTACGAGGCGACCACATTTAGAGAGTGTCCTGTGTGATTCTTTAAGTAAATGAGCTAGCGTTAGTATGTGATCATAAGTTGTTGGTAAGGTAATTTGTAGTGTGTAGCATTAAATAAAAGGAGTATGTAGGAAACAATATGAAGTGTTAGGGAAAATTCATAGATTCAAGGAAATACATTTGATGCTATATTTCATCAAATTATTCAATGGAAGTGGGTCATTAGAACAAAGGTATATAAAAAACAGACCCAGGAAACTAGAAGCATTCCCTCACTGAGACAAAAGTGTAAGGTAGGCAGTAGGAAAGGGTACATAAAAGGAGTGGTAGCCTGGCAGAGAATGTGTCTTAGAGGGGACAAGCCAGAACCCTTCTTGTGACTCAGGGCAGGTTTTCCTCTCTGAGCCTCAGGTTTTTTTTTGGTTTTTTTTGGTTTTTTTTTATTG